TGGAAAAAATCTGGTTGTTTCTACATTAGAATACGGAATTAAAGAACTTCCTTGCCTATGTGGTGATAATATATATATGCATACACCAAACCAAACTCTCCGCCATCAAGTCGATTCCTACTCACAGCAACCCCCATTGGGTTTCCAAGGTGGTAAACCTTTACAGAAGTAGACTGCCCCACCTTACTCATATTACATATAATTACTACATATATATTGCACATTTATAATACATGTGTATATATATTAGCAGCACATAAGCAAGAACCAACACACCATAAACAAATACAAGAGATACCATTAAGAATCTTAGAAATCAAAAAACAATATAGATGGTCAAAATAATGGATTATTTATTTCATGTACACACACATGCACACCAGTTTGTATCCTTGAGTAATTCATATCAGCAGGAAATTCTGGCTATGTTACAAATCTAGAGCATTTTGAAAACTCAAAAATAAAAACCTGTGTGTCTGCAATGATTGTTACTAAAAGTGGAAACAGAGTTGAAGTAGTTATTGATCAAATTACTATTTAGGTTCTCTAGCTTTATTTCTTACATATATTTGGAAACACATTATTGTGGCACACAAAGTGATAATATGATAAATTAGTACATATTTATCAAAATATATACTGAATAAAATGCTTAAAATATCTTTTTGCAAAAGTAGTCATTAAGCAACAAAAGTATAGTGATATAACACAACATACTTTATTAAATAACATAAATGTCTATGTAATAAAAACAGACTATATTACAATAGCACATGAAATAAAAATGCAATGTCTTAAAATATTAAGAGAATATAAAATTAACCCTTAAAGAAATGCTATGAATTTTTTCAATTAAATGCAAACTAGATGATTAATTACCTTTTAAGCATCTAATAAATATTTTATACATTGACACTAAAATTACAATTCTTAAATTATAATTTTAAATGAGATAAATGAATCCCATTTATAAGATAAAAGGAAACCTAATTGTTGAATTAGATTCTTACTATGTACAACTTCCTAAACATCAGATTAATAACGGATACAAATATAAATAATAAAGCAGCTTTATATATGGCCTTTTAGACACTGATTTAACAAAATGTGGTGACCAAAAGAAAAAAACAGTTCTATTATCTATTTAAAATACTTACTTAGTACATGATTAAGTATAGCACCCTAGACAAAGAAGAGGGAGAAAATGATTTATGTACATATGTACTATGATCCATCTACTAAGCAATCAGTCATGTATTTACCTGATTACTGGAAATTTGCATACAAGTAAAAAGAACCAACTGATTTATTTCTTCCTATGCCTAAGAGACAGGCAAAAAGTCAGTGTGCCAAAGGGGTCCTTTTACTCTTTCAATTTACAATTTATAATTTCACTAGGGGAGTACACTAACTAACTGTTTTTAAAAAGCTGCCAAAAGACATAAGGGAACCTCTTATACATATAATTTAAAGTCAGATGACAACCTAAACTTTAGGTAAAAGAGAAACATGTCAATTGTAACAGGGACTTGAAAAGGGTTGTACAAGTTTTATGATCAAGTTGATCCACAACCACAGGTATTTTTTATGTCAACGAAACACAGTATTTAGATACCCTGCCAGTCTTATAGAATTAAAATGAAAAACTGATTCTAAAAATACATACTGTTACATCTGTTCACACTTAAAAAACAAGTATCAAGAGAATTGATGGGTTGGATTTTCTTCATCACTTTCATGCAAAAAATTCTATACCACAAAGATCAAAAGAATTAAGTCTTAGATTTAAATAAAAATCTCACTAGTAACTCAATCACCTACAGAATCAGTTAACCAGTAATGAATTCTTTCATTGAACCATGGCTAGTTATTTCAATTACACACCTTAATGGAGGAAATGTGAGACAGTGGTCCATGATTTACATGAATTTCAAAACAATATACACTTGCATAAAATTCTGCATTCTACAAATATTAGAATAACATGTAATATCAATAAACAATAATTCATTCCTTATATTTCACAATTTTAGTAAAAACCACCTATACAAAATTACTGGAAGCTATCTTTTATATCATGTTTCACATATGGAGGATTTTGTTTCCATTAATGTCACTATAAACTTCTACCACGGCAATAGTGAATGAATGGGTTAAAAAAACCCAAAAGGACAAAAATATGCTTTAGCAAAGTAAGTATATTAGATGGAAAAAAAATCTGGATAATAATCCCAATCCATATTTAATAGACACTTAAATAACAGGATCAGTTCAGCTGTATCTGCAGCAGCCAGGTTACAAGACTCAAAGTGAAATGAAAAAAATAAAACAAACAAAATATTTCATATAACAATACAGAATAAGGTCAAGTACTTCTTCACAGCATGAGAGATGGATTAGACATTCCCATACCTGAAACATGTCTGCTTTGTTCCTTAATAAACTGATCTCCATCTGCTCATGCCCTTGGAAATTTTTCAGCAGTATGACCTGCTGTGCTCAAGCCCCATATAACTCTGTATTTCCCTGTTTATAATTAACTAATTACACTCTAATCAATAGTGTAGATCCTGATTTTACAATGTAAATCAGTTAAATGAGATAATGGCTGGGGGTCAATCTCATCTTATTTACAAAGCCCAGCATGAGAATCCAATTTCATTATATCCTATGTACCTGAGCAGCAGTGAATCTTATCAGCAGGCCTGCAGACAGTGAGGAAAGAGGTGTACACTTCAATAAAGGAGAAGTATTTGCAAAGCATGCCGATTTCAGAAATACTGTAAATCCCAATCCTTAATATTAATTTGCAAAGTACTCAGATTAGTAGGAAAAAAAATCTACCTTCATGTGATGTCATGTGATTCTAAAGCTGCTCTTAAAATGTTTCAATAGTCAAAAACAATTTCAGAAACTAAAAAAAAAATTAGTGACATAAATAATCACTCTCTACTACAGAGCATCTTGATGAATTTCTTTTGTGAAATATTCATAAAATATTCCCATATTGTCAATCAAATAAATATTTGGTGAACTATGTCAAGTTAGTGATTGTTTAAAAGAATGATTGCATTAAGTATCATATACGGTAAAAACAGGGAAATAGCATCATGAGGGTGAATATTCTTATTTATTGATTAGCAACCATTTTTAACATCATAAATGTAAAAACAAATGTTCAAGAGACATATGACTGATATGATAATGCACAAATATATTTTCTAAAGACAGATAAAGGTTAAGGCTAAATTTTGTTTCCATGTTCAAACACAACACTGATTTCAAATTGGTATTTTATAAAAGAATTACTGAATTATGGGCAAAAGCTATGTTTAGAGTATCTTAATTCATCGCAACTAAACATTCAATTGAAACAGTGCTTTCCCCATAATGGGTATAAAATAAATGTTTAACTGAATTTACAAATATAAAGAAATTTGTATTTTATGTGTTTTGGAGGAAATTCTTTTATCTAGAAACAAATATTTTTCAGACTCTAAGTGCCCTTCTAAGGAGATGTAAAATACATTCATTCTTTTATCAACAAATGTTGAACAAAACACAAACTTTTTTTTTTTAAATATTATATACATATGGTTTGCAAAGTGTAGTTCAGAGCAAGTAGCATCAGTATCGCTTGGGAACTGGTTAGAAAGACGAATTTCCAGGCCTCATCTCAGAGCCACTGAATCAGAAACTTCGGGTGGGGTGAGTGTGGGGAGCAATAGTAAGGGAATAGGGTAGCAAATTATGTTTTAATAAATCCTTCCTAGATTCTCATGCAAAATAAAGTTTGAGAACCACCACTGCTATATAATACTATGTTATCCTTTCTGCATTTCAAAGTAATTTAATTTCTTCATATTTTATTTTTATGTTCCTTTTCCTATTGTGTGACAAATAACCATCATTAACCTGACATCCTGTTTTCTGTGAAATATGAACCATTTTGTGCAGAGTCAATTCTGACTCATAGCGACCCCCTTTGGGTTTCCAAGGTGATAAATCTTTACGGAAGTAGACTGCCCAGTCTTCCTTCCACAGAGTGGCTGTGGGTTTGAACCGTCAACCGTCTGGTTAGCAAACACCTTAGGCACTATGCCACTAGGCCACACGAGAGTTCCTTTTTTAACTTGATATGCTGTTTTCTGTGAAATATGAACCATTTCATGCATATTTAAGTATAAATGTCTTCTTAAAATAGCAATTGGACAAATTATGGACAAAAATTAATTTTATGCTGCTAAAAATAGTGATGTATTTAGATAAATAAGGAGAGAGAAAGTATTTTATTCTACTCCCTTCAAAAAAGGTTTCCTACTCCAATCACATTTTCTCAGGACTTACTATCTTATAAAGTATGTGGTTTATATTTGTGATGTGTAACAAAGATTCTTAAGTTACCACCAAAATACTGAATAGCATCACTATTGAATATTGTAAGAGGGAAAGTGATGATAATTAGTATTTGAATAGGAACTAAGGTTCAGATGATTTTGAGTAACAAGTGATATCAAAACCACAAAGCTTAATGATTCTCAAAATGACCTAAAATAAAATGACTACTAGTAATTTCTCACCACATACTAAAGGAGGGCCAGGTCTTAATTAATTAGCATATTCCATAAAGAAAATGGCAATCTGTCATTTTTCTTAAAATCAGTGAAGTTCAGTAAGAGTAATAATTACTTTTTCTTAAACTTATATAATGATAATCAATCTCTTCTCATTCTTTAAAAAAAAACCTTACTAGTTTTGCTATAAGTTATTAATATTGTCCCTCCAAAGTTATGAGATCTTTCAATAAATTAATAATGTTTATACATAACTTTATACACATCATGTTACTTTTTTAAATATATTATCCAAATGTTCTTGAGTATAACTATAGATCACTAGCATACACCAACTTTACATTTACACTTGTTTTTGATTATCTATAACATTGTCTGCTCTATTCCTAAAGTTTAAACTAGCTTCAGTTGCCACCAAACTTGAAAAGATGTCCAAAATCACATTTATAAATCAGAGAATTCCAAGAGGCACGTTGACAATTTACATGTATATGTGCATTTCAATTTCAGTGGAGTCTCTTCTAAATCAGTTCAAGATGGAGTGATGGAATATTCAACATATTTCTGTCGTTGAGTTAAAACTGGATCATTAAAGCTTGAAGATCAAATTTTAATTCTGTAAACCTCTGGAAAGATACAGATGTTGATGAAGATCTTTCAGCTGGTAGGTTGTATAGTCAATAAGCTTTGTATCTCCCTCCTTATTTCATAATTTCATATATAAGGTTGAAAAACTGAAATTATATTGAACATAGTAAGTTCATAATAAAACAGTAAAGGCTGAATAAATTTGGGGATTACTATTTAGAGATCAACACAGATATACTCTTATTCATGGACTTAAAATTTGAAATTAAAAAAAAATCTCACGCTAATATTAGTGCTTTCACACTAGGACTGATGAGTCAAATGTAGAATGTCACAGTTTCACAAGTCTTTCACTTTTATGTTCACTTTTGTTGAATATTATAAATACGAATACATTTACTATGAGACTATAATTGTTTCACAAGGCAGCATTGCATATATAAATATATCTAGTAAGTTGGATGAAACAGAATAGTAGACTAATGGGAAGCATTCCTTGTTTGTTACTGGTATTGTTCAACAACAAAAGGGAGTAGTATATTGCATTTAAGTCCCATAGGCTTCCATAACTCTTCATAAGTCCAAATACTGTGTATCATCATTCGCCAGAAAAGCAGGGGAAAAAACATTATGTAATCAGATAACTCTGATGAGACATTTATCCAGTATTTTTCAACAATGCACATATCAAATGTTTCTGATTAGTGCAAATAAGAAAAAATGAAATAGAAAAAAAAAAAAAAAATCCACAGGCAAATTAACTGCCTTGTCAGTCCAAGTAGCAAATCAATCAATTATATTCTATCCAAACCTGACAAGCAAATGAAACTTTTTGCAGTGATAAGCTTATGGAAAGGACAAGATAGCTGTTCTCCTTTACTTTATGGACTCTATTGAGAGTTTTATCCACATTTTTAAATCACACTTATAAAAGAGGTTTCCGGGATTGCCTCCGAGGATGAGCTGTGGCAGAGTTGGGTCTCATGAAGGGTATCTACACAGTAAAGTGATAAGAAAAGAACATTAACATTTAAAGATCATAGCAGCTCTGCACTATGTCTTATGAAACATACTAACAATACTACAGTAGATTCAAATAACATATGATCTGTCTAAAGAGATAGATATGCTAAACCAAAAGCTATGATCTTGTGTAGGTTCTTATTTAAAATGTTATCATTTGAAACATTTCAGTTGCCTCCTCTTGTATTATTAGTAGTAGTATTAAATATGTCTTACGAAAACAAAAAAGAAAATAATATAAAAAAATTATGTAGGGCTTGTATTTACATAGAAAACATGTTTGTGATCAAAATATATTTTGAAAGACAACAGTTGCTCTTTTTTCATTAAATATAGCAACTTAACAATGCTTGAGAAAGTATGCAACTCTGTTGAAAACAAGCATGTATGTATTACAGGGCTGGTTATACTCTATCATAGAGTCTCAGGGAGGAAAATCTTCATCTTTTTATCTCCTGTACTACACTGTCTTCCTTCTAAAAATATCATACTATGTCACAATTTTTTAAAGTATAATCCCTGCTACCCAGTTGGGTAGACGCTGCAACAAACAGCACATGACAATATACTCACTACAATAATGTGGTCATTGACTATAAATGATTCTAAGTATATAATTTTGGTCAAATTTTCAAAGCATATCCACTTGCACTTATTTCTCCAAACTATTTTCAGTGTTTCTTGTATTTATTTTCCTATTGACAAGTATTTATTTGCTACTTTTCCAGTATCTTTATTTTCAGAGGAGAAATTTCAGGTGCTAACAGATCAGTATTTTTTTTTAACTTAGTAAACATACAAATTTATCACTTCCTTCAGATATTAGATCTGTGTAGACATTAGTGAAACTGACAAGTAGTCACACATGGTAGAAAATGTTTGTTTCTATATTTAACTATTCGAGACACATTTAATGCTTCCAAGTTCCATTGAGAAAAAGAAAGGGAAAAGTGGCACAGTCACAGACAGATAAAGCACTGCCGAGAAACGCTACCAAGCCAAACGGAATACTCTCAATTAAAAAAAAAAAAGCAGAAACAAAATTGTATAATAGGAAAAAAGAACATAGTATAAATCATATTTCAGAGAAATTTTGTATGTATCAGTATACGAGAAATAAATACAAAGAGCTGAATTCCTTTTTGAACAGTAAGGTTACATGTGCTAACTTTTCTTAAGGTCTCAGTCTCTAAATTTGAGCACATTCTGAATATCTGATATTCAGATATTGGAGGTTAAGCACATCAGGAAAAACATAATGCAAGAGGAAGCAACCAGATAATTAACAACAGAAGTGCAACTAACTCTTAACTACGTGCACAAATGAGGACGACTAGTAGAAAATCCAGAATATATATTTGAATTTAACTTTGATATGCATTTGAATATAGATAAATTTGATATGGAAATCTGCTTCAAACCTCAATTAAACCCAAGTTAAAGTTTCCTTTGAAAAAAGTAAAGAGCTATCGCTAATACTGCTCCATCCTAAATTTCATTTAGTACCCCAAAATCTCCCTTAAAGCAAGAATAAGCACCACTTGTCTTGGTTCATATGTTCCTAGAACAACAGACTGAGTTTCTGTAAATCAGAGATTACATTTTGGCTTTGTATTTATACCATATGGCATTGAGTAAGGGTATTTCAAATTAACGTAGAAAAAAGGGATTGTTTTCAAAGGGCTTTCCTGACACATACATCAGTAACTATAAACATAGTCTGTACTTTCCTATAGTTGCAATTGTGCACCAACACAAAGTATCTACTCCTTCTGCCTCAACAAATTCAAAGATACTACGAGTAATGCCTAGATCATGAGCTGCATAGTCAAGACTGTCTAGATTCAAACTCTAATTCTACCACTTTGTAGCTGTGTGATCTTGGACAAGTAATTCTCAGTTTACTCAACTGCAAAATAGAGATAAAGTTAATATCTGTATTATATGGTGGTTGTCAGGATCAAATAGAAAAATATGGGCAGCACTAGCACACTGACCAGTGCTGATAAGTGCTCTATACCCATCAGTAACTATTAACATTAAAGACAACAGATTTATTAACATGAGAGTTCATTTTTTTGAGAAGAAATTATATTTTAACATATAATTTAAGCAATTTCTACTTCATGTTGTTTGTTGCCTCTATATCTCAGTTACCTCATCTCTAAAATGGAGATATTCATACCTCATAGGACTGTTGTAAGAACTAAGTGAGATAACACATCTATAGTTTATAGAGCAGAAGACAGAATCTAGGACAAAGTAAGTATCCTAACATTAGCATTATTATAATTCCCAGGCCATAAATTTTTTTTTAATGTTACAAATGTTAAAAATATAAGATTCTTATACATTATTACTTACATATCAGAATGTAATGTCAACACTAAAATTTATATCCAATCTTATTTTCAACCTCATTTTACCTCTCATTTCATTAATATTACAATATCTATTTTATATGTCTAGAACAATTACAAAGTCAATATAAATCAAACCTTTATGAGAAACAAATGAAACAATGTTTAATTTAATTTTAGAAAGAAGGAAAAAAAATAAAAAAACACTATAGTTGACTTTGAGTTAGATTATATGTGTTTTGCATGGCACCAAGGGTTGACCATTTTAAGAAGAGACATGTCAGCTCATACGGAGAGAAAAATTACCTATAGTCAGAGCTGCCTCAAGAGGAAGTGGATTACGCACCTCTATTCCTTGCAGAAGCTTGCTCCCTGTTACTTAGTAGTGAATGCTGGGGAGAGGAATAAAGTTTTAGATGGATGGTAGGACAACAGACTTCAGGATCCTTTTCAGAACTCTTGAGTGTTTGCTTTGGAATCTCTTTCAGTTATAAACGTTATAAAAAGTGAAAAATAAGAGATTGATGCTCTCATTTTACAGGTAACAAAAAGAGTTTGGAGGTTACTTGATTCAAAATAATTAAGCTAACCAGTAGCAAAACAATGGTTAGAATTTTAGTCTTTTCAAATGTTTATGTAATGGGTATTCTTCTGTACAAATTAACAATATTAAGACACATGCAATGGAAAACAATAGAAAATTACATGAATAAATCTTAGTGAAAAATAAAATTGAGTGGAATGAGAAATATTTCATTGCTGTATGTACTTGAATTATGATTCTTACCACCCTAAAATCTCAGACCCCAAAATACCACACTTCACTATGCAATGTGTACCGTATTCAGGCTTCCATTTTCCTTATTACAATTTACCTGTCTATACTGCATTAATTTAAATAGTAAAAAGAAAATTAAAACATTCAAATGTTTATAACATGTAACATAAAATATTTATAAATTAATGTATTTATAAATTATACGAAGGTACTGAAAGAGTCAGTGTTTTAATATGGATTTTAAAGTCAAAGGAAGTCATATGCCAAGTAAGCATTGCTTTTTAACCTGAATTTCATAATACTGCCTCTGTAAAGATTTCGGTTGCATCTAGGATTATAAAAATGTATTTTGAAATTAAATATCTCTTCCACTGTTTTTACCAATAGAAAAACATTCTTTAAAAGCCATCTTTAAATAGTTTGACTAAAAATACCTAGTTTATTTTCTAATTCACTTTTTAAAATCTAATCTCTTTGTCTTATAAAAAGAAGCATAATTTTAGATCTAAAAACTAGCTTAAATCATTGATCATTTATTTTTATAAAGTCAGGTCTAAACATGGTGATAGGGATGGCCAAGTAGCTTTTCAGGACAGCAATACAAAGCCTTCAAATAGAACACAATATCCTGTCAGACACAGTCATTTACTTAAATGTAGGAAAGTTGGGATTGGATGCTTGCAGAGCATAGTAAAACTTTGTAACAGTCACCCAATTTATTTCCAGAGTTTTGTTCCTCTCTATAATGAAAACCCCTCAATTTTAAATGTCGACCAGAAATTCTAATTCAACATGCCTGTTAAAAAAAAACACCTATGAATCCATTCACCTATTATATCTGGCTCTAAAAAATATATAGTCATTCATATCTTTTTGTTCCTGGTATTGCCATTCTCTCCAACTATTCAGGTTAAAGTCAGCCAGTTTGGTTTAAAATTCTTATTTCCTCCTTTGCCTACCCATTTTTGGTTAATAATTTGCTATAACCTCTACCCATCCTTTTTCATGTCTACTTCTGTCAGTCTAGGTTCCTGGCCCCAAAACTGGTCTGTTTTTAAGCTATCCATTCACTCATCTCACAGTCTTGCCAGAGTACTATACTTCTTATTATCTCTTGCCTTTAATGAATCCCCATTAGGACTCTAAAATTTTTATCTTGAATCCAGATCCAACGGCACCCATTCTTTTAAACCTACATCACACATGACACCATGGTCTCATCACACATGACACCATGGTCTCATCACACATGACACCATGGTTTTCACTCACGTTATTTCATATCTTTGAAGGATATTCTACCTCCTATCTCATTCTCCTGAAATCTCTTTATACTTCAAGATCCAACTCAAATGTCCTCTTAGTTTATAGGAAGACTTCTCCATCATCCTTTTTAGGAATGATCCTACCATCCTCTGAACTATTATGTCTCTGTATATCCTTATATCACAATTTGATACATGAATATAATAAGCATGAACTAGATTAGAAAATAAATGTTATGAGGATAAAAAAAAACACGAAAATACATAGCACAAATTCCTTAGAAATAAAAGCTTCAGAAGAAAAGTAAAAACAAAAATCTTTCTCTAGTTGTTTAATGCTCTACATGAAATTCAACTTCCTTTTCAAAAAAGGTCTACACTTGCAGACTATGTCACAACAATGTCTTTGGTATTATCAGGCAATTTTAAACCTCCTTAATAATTGATACAAATGAGCAACCTAATAGGAGAAATTTGTATCTGAAAGATTTCAGTCACTTAAAAGGAAAGTTATTGACTGATGTAATTTCCCTTGGATGTGACTAAATCAGATTGATTTAGTCCTTCC